GGACATGGGTTCGTGTCCCTGTCCGGGAGGATCTCACATGCCGCGGAGCGGCTGGGCCCGTGAGCCATGGCCGCTGAGCCTGCGCGTCCGGAGCTTGTGCTCCGCAGCGGGAGAGGCCACAACCGTGAGAGGCCCGCGTGCCGCAAAAAAAAAAAAAAAAGGAAGAGAGAGGAACAAGGCAATGGTTCCCTGCCCTGCAGGAGCTCACAGAGCAAACAGATTGGGAATCAATTCTGAGTTCAGGGTAACATAGGCAGGAACAAGTTCCAGGGATGAGAGAGCACTTGCGCCAGGCCTCAAAAATACGTAGAAAACAAACTCAGGATTCAATGTGAGTCCTATGGTTCTAGGACTCAGACTAGTGGTTGCCTCTGATGGGGGGTGGGGGGCAGGCTGGCTGGAAGGAGCATGAAGTTTTCTCGGGTGACGGAAGTATTCCGTAGCTTGATTGGCTCTTGACTGAAATGCCACCCAGCAAGCTGGCATGGTGTATGCCATGGTTACATGGATGTCTACGTTTGTCAAAACTCATCGAGCTGTATACTTAAGATCTGTGCATTCATTATATGCAAACTATATCTCAATATATATAAATTAGTTTATTGACAATATCTTTTAAAATGAGTAGAACTGGGATTGGAGGGTCCTTCAGGCCTAGAGAACCTCATGCTCAGGGCTTGTTGGTGCAGGCAGCATGGTGCCTGGGGTAACCTCCAGCTGCTGAGGTTGGCTGGGTGTTAGGGTGTGAGGTGAAGGATGTGAGATCGGTTGATTAGAGCCTTAGGTGCCATGTAGAGGAGACTAGACATGACCCTACTAGCCATAGGTGCTGCTGAAGAGTTTCAGCCTCTCCCAAGTGGCTGGGACTGCCCTCCTTGGAGGCTAGGGGTCCATTGGTCCAGTTGGGTAGAGAGAAGCAGGCCTCCCATCCCCTCAAAACTCTGCTCAGAGGGAAGGAGGGGAGGGAAGAGGAGAAATCAGAGCTGAGTACTACAGCCATCAAAGTGAGCTACACCCAATGCCCTAAAGGATGATCAGGGGAAAGCAGTCGTTTCTTGCACCCAGGCTGAACTCTGTCAACTTCCCCTGCCCAGGAAGGGAGAATACCCACAGTTCTTGTCATGACGCAGCAGGGAACTGACCCCCAGAGACTGTCTATTTCATGGCTGCTGGAGGCGAGCTCTCCCTTCTCATGCAGACGTCTTAGGATATGTGCTGCCCCTGCTGTTTTTGTGCTTCTAAACCTAAAAGCGGCGTCCAAGTGTGCACATTGCCAGCTTAAGCGCCTCTGCCTGTATGTAAGGAATTCCTAAATCTTTGTGCATCTTTGCTGTACCCCCAAACTACAACAGGCATTTCCTAGTTGTTTGTCCCACCGAGGCATGCGTTCTCCCACATACCCTGCATATTCTGACCTTCCATGGTGCTCAAACCTCTCTCACTCCTGTTTTTTTTTTTAAACACTGCCAACGCTCTCTGATCTCTCCCTTTCCTGGACACTTGTTGCAACACCAGGCAATCATTTCCTATCACCTCTCCCTCTCCCCTCTGGTAGTTCTGTTTCCTCAGCTGGAAGGAAATATAAGGCCATTACAGTCAGAGAAGAGCCTTAAAAGCTGTTGTTTCCCCATCAACTTGGGAACATAGTACATTCTTTTTTGTTTTTCAATTCTCTTTTTTGGGGTCATGTTTCTTTTATTTATTTATTTATTTATGTTTGCGTTGCTGCATGTGGGCTTTCTCTAGTTGCGACGAGATGGGGGCTACTCTTGGTTGCGGTGCGCGGGTTTCTTATTGCGGTAGTTTCTCTTGTTGCGGAGCACGGGCTCTAGGCGTGCAGGCTTCAGTAGTTGTGGCACGTGGGCTTCAGTAGTTGTGGCACGCGGGCTTCAGTAGTTGTGGCTCGCGGGCTCCAGAGCGCAGGCTCAGTAGCTGTGGCGCATGGGCTTACTTGCTCCGTGGCATGTGGGATCTTCCCGGACCAGAGATCGAACCTGTGTCCCCTGCATTGGCAGGTGGATTCTTAACCACTGCACCACCAGGGGAGCCCCATAGTAAATTCTTAATAAATTTATTAGTAGATTGATGACTGACTTTGGAAGGTCCAGACCGCTGTGGGGATCATCTGTGCCAAAGTCGAGTAAGTATTTTCATTTCCTCTAACTGTTTTCAGCAAAGGTCCTGTCTAGACCTCAGTCTCTGTGGAAAGAGTGGTCCTGGGGGGTCAGAGGGGCTGAAGGAGATGGTAGGCAATGTGGCTGGGATATTGTGGGATGTTGAATCCTGACCCCAGATGACCCAGGCTGCAGAGCTGTGTCCCCATACTCTCCACTAAAGAGAGCACAGCTGCACTGGGAGCGCTGGGCAAAAATGAGGTCAGGTTCTGTCAAAGCCAGTACGATTCACAGGCGAGCTCAGCTTGCTGGATTGACAGCAACTGTTGAGTCATTACTGCAATTGTAGACATGAACCGCTTTACCTGCTGGGAAGAGAATTTAGGATAAACCGTGAACTTCAAAAAGTTTCTGCCTGGAAACTGAAGAGGTAACCATGGCAACCGGGAGGCAGGTTGAACTCGGAGAGGGCTCTTCGTCTTGAGCAGGGAGCTTTGTGCTCTTGGCTTTGCCCATCTGTGCACCATGCATCAATTCCTTTGTCTCTTTCGCTTTCTTTGTCAAATGAAAAAGTACTACCTCGGGAATCTGGAGATTCGGCCCAGGGTTCAGCTGTTTTCAGCTCCATTGCATTTAACTAAGGGCCTTTAGCACTGCCGTTTTGTTGTCTGCAGAATGGAAATTTAAAAGCTCCTCTGGCCTATTCACAGGGAATGCAGAAAGGACAGGAAGGTTTGAGGAGGTTTTCTGCCTAATCACTATTATTGTTGTCATGTGGCCACGTCCAGGCTGATTCCAACGTGGTACTACTGAGGGTAAGACCGGGGGTTCAATCTGTCCATAAACTTGCTTTTATTGCTTGGAGAAAAGCTGTCTCAGACACCACCCACGTCCCCATTCGGCAGCTGCATAATAAAAGCATATGCACTGGGGCAGAAGCAGCAGCAGGTGACAAAACAACCCTCATCCCAGCTGACGAACTCCTCCAGCAGAAGGGCCTGCTAATGCTGCCGGGTGGGCTGCGTCATCGTGTGGACCAAGGGCTGTGCGGAGAAGCAAACGTTCAAAAAGGCATCCTTCCGTTGCCCCCCTCCCAACTCTTGCCCATCGCCCTGCCCCACACCAATCCAGCCCTGGACTTGTGAGAAAAGTAGAACAAGAGCCCAGGTGGGCCAGACGGGGTGCAGGTGGGAAGCAGCATCTAAGATGGTGCTACCAATGCGTGAGCTGCTGCGTTGCCTGTCCCCGTGTTCCACTAACCACCGGGAGGCTGGGGAGGGTTCGGCTCTGGCTTCAGAGAGCATTAGGTTTTGACTAACTGGATCACCTTCTGCAGGCCCTGGCTTAACAAGGGAATCTGCTCTGACAAAAGACCCCCCATATTTTTCTGATTTGGGCCTCTTTTCCTATAGCGGTCCCTCAGCGGCTCTCTCACAGGCCTTCCTCTCCTCTTCCCCTCTGTGGTTTTCCCCTTTCCTTCCCTGATCAGCTTTTCTGGGACTTCTCACTGAGCTCTGTCAGGTGGAGCCTCTTCACCTCTGGTTTCCGACCCTTACTTCCAGGCGCCGCTGAGGAATAGCAACTCTTAAACGCCCCTCATGAAATAAACACCTAAACTCCGAGAGTCACAAAAAAAACTTGCTACTTTTCCTTGTTGTCTAGCAACCCCTGTAACCCTACTAAGTAAACCTGAGGGCCAAGGTTGACTGAGCGCTGACTACGAGCTGAGCTCTGTCCCAAGCACCTTCAAGGTGTGGCTACAGGGGCTGTGGTGTGTCTCCCAGATATGTGTTTGGGACCAGGGTGCTGGCTGCTGTAGGCTTACAGCCGTCTCTCCCTTAACAGAGGGAATTGCCTCGTTTAAAATTAGGCTGTCCAATGAACTGTTGATGTGGGATACAAAGGCCCGGCCCCTTGCTTCACTGCGGGTCTGCTCAGAAGAGTCATCCCACTCCAGAGCACCCCCTGGGACCAGCTTCCGGCATTCGTTTCCTCCCTCTGCCCAACCCTGCTTCCCTCACACCCTCTTAGTTCCCAGAACTCTCCCCAGCAAGTCTCTGCCTCCGAGGAACTAAGTTTCCCGTCTCCTGGGGAATTCAAACTAAGAATTAAATTTCTTTAGTCCTCACAACAACTTTAGGAAATAAGTGCATCATGTTTTCGTTTTAGAGACAAGGAAACGGAGGCATGGAAAGGTTGAGAAACTCGCCTAAAGTCTCCCATCAGTAAATGGTGGAGCCCAGATTTGAAACTGAGAAATCTATCCCTAGATGGCACACTCTTAACTTCAAGTGCAGCCTCTTAACAGCAATCCCAAAGGGAAGTGAGGGGCAATGGGGTGGCTGTGATGCCTTTATGGGAAAGTGAGGAGATAGGCAGAGCATTTATTACCTTTATCTCGGAGATGAGGATGCCGAACTAGCTAGCAACTGCTTAAAGGCAGGATCATTCACTAGTTCCGGAGGTGGTGGGATTCTAATCTGCGGAGGGGCAGTGAAAAAGCATGGTAAATTCATATTTGACTTCTGGCAAAACACTTACTGTGTGACTTTGAGCAAGTTATTTAACCCGAGTCTTAGTAAAAAAGTACACAGTAGGACTTCCCTGGTGGCGCAGTGGCTGAGAGTCTGCCTGCCGATGCAGGGGACACGGGTTCGTGCCCCGGTCCAGGAAGATCCCACATGCCGTGGAGCGGCTGGGCCCGTGAGCCATGGCCGCTGAGCCTGCGCGTCCGGAGCCTGTGCTCCGCAACGGGAGAGGCCACAACAGTGAGAGGCCCGCGTACCAAAAAAAAAAAAAAAAAAGTACATAGTAGATGCTCAATAAAGCCAGCCACCACCCCCAACCTTTGTCTGCTATTTCTAACTCTGATCTTGGGCAAGTCTCTCTAACGTTCTGACTCAGTTTCTTCATCTATAAAATGGAGGTGATGATGACAAAGGGCTTACTTAGTTGACCCGTGGCCATTTGGGTAGGAGCACAGTAAATGGAAGTTATCAGTATAACCATGATGCTCTCTTGCCTGGCTTGCATCCTGTGCTCCGGTCCTGCAGGACCCAACAGACTCAGGCTCAGGCTGTGCTCGACACCGTGCGTGCCTCCCCGAGGAGGCACTTCAACACCAATCCTCCTGGCACCGCTGAGTTGGTTTCCTGCTTTTACTAGCGGCAGAAGGTGTTTTGTTTTTTTTCCCCCCCTACTAAACTGGGTGTGCGCTTCTCTTCTCCGTGTGAGTTCTCTGCCGCTTCTCCCTCCCCAGCTGGTGTCCGCCAAGAGGAGGGGGTTAGCCCCGTGAGCACCCCCGTGGTGTGAAGGTTGCACGAGGGTAGCGGCGCATCCCGGGCAGGGAGCCCCGCCCCGTCGAGCTCCAGGCCCCTCCTGCGCCTTCGCCCGCGCTCAGTACCGCTCTCCAATTGGTCGGCGGCGCGCAGCCCCGCCCCGCCCCCTCCAAGGCAATAAAAGCCGCTGGCTCGGCGCAAGCAGTTGAATAAACCCAATCTGCGCAGACAGGCGCTGGCCGCTGCTGCTCTGCCTTCTCGCGCCCTGCGGTGCCCGCTGGAGCCCGTCACCATCCTCCACACGACGTGCTGCCCTGCACCCGCAGCCATGTGCCGGACCCTGGCCGCCTTCCCCACCAACTGCCTGGAGAGGTAAGAGCAGCTTGTCCAGCTGCCTGGAGGAAGAAGAACAAGTCCCACCAACCTTAGGGAGTGCAGCGGCGGCAGGCTTGCAGACCTGGGTGGGCTGGAGAATGGGACGCAAGTGACGAGAGGCAGAGGTCAACTTGGTTCCACGTTCTCAGATGCCTCCTTAGAGTCTTAGAGAAGGATGGGCGACGAGAACGGAGAAGGCAAAGCAAAGGGAAGCAGAGGGACCACTGCTTACTGCCATTCCCCACCCTCTGACAAGTGGCACTTCTACTCAGGTGACCCAGCTTCAGGAAAACCACGGTGGCATCACCAGGCAGAACCGAGTCTTCCCCGGTTTCTTAAGCACTTGGTTTTCATTCTAAGTCATAGGTCTAGGGGCCCTCTGGCCCTGGAAAGGCAGGGAAGTGTTTTTCAGCAGCCCGCCCTGTGAGGGATGTGCCCGCTTCCCAGGGAGCTACTCACCCACTCCAATCCTTGCTGGAGCTGGGAAGGAAAAAGTAAAGAGGAAGGCAGAAATCAGCTTCCACACAGCTCCAGAAATATTTGTGACAAGTCTAAGAGAGTGCTGAACTGCCTTCTGCTAATCAACAGGCACAAAGATGGATCAGTGTGACTTAAGTGGGCAAAAGCCCATGTGTGCTGTACTGTAGACCCAGAAAGTATAAGACCTACCGAGGCACAGCTTAAATATTGCTTTCATTGTTTCTGGGTTCATGATACCGCTGAGAGAGGCAACGTTTAGGCCCTGGGAACAGTTACGGGTTCCCAGGAACCCCAAGGCTGGAATTTGAGTGACACTAACCTGAGCTTTTCTGGGACCTCATAAATCTCTCTGCCCTGGCCGAGCGAGTGGAGAATCCTCACAAGCTCGTGCTTTGTCTTCCAGAGCCAAAGAGTTCAAGACACGGCTGGGGATCTTTCTTCACAAGTCAGAACTGGGCTCCGGTACTGGGAGTGTTGGCAAGTTCGAGTGGGACAGTAAACACAGCAAAGAGGGGTAAGTCCTGCTGAAAAGCCTAGGGCCCCTAGAGGGAGGGAGCCAGATTCAGGAAAGGAGTCCTGAGAAGGAAAATACCAGGAGAAATTAGAACATGTCAGCGTGGACGTTGGTGACCTTTTCCTAGAGATTGTAATGGAGCTGGTCATAGCCGGTCTGCTATGGCTGCCTGGCTCATGGGTGACTGCGTGGATGGCTCCAGGCTTCTAATTCCACCAACAAATGAAGATACCCAGGGCCTGAATGTCTAGTTACCAGACTCTCGCACCTGGAGATGTCATTGCACATGCAACCAGGGCAAGGGCAGGGTCCAAGGCCACTGGAGGGTTTTAAATTAGTGACTACTTCCACTGACATGCACTTTACCTGGAAGCCCTTTTATACTGACCATCAACTGTGCCAGGTGCTGCGTTAGGCTCTGGGGTTATGGGTAGACATAATCTCTATTCATAAGACCCTTATTTCCTTAAGAAAGTATACAAAACAAGCTCTGAGAGTCAGGGGGATAGAAAGAATTTTGGACAGTGAAGAACACAGTCTTAGATATTTAATGAGGGCCAGAAGTTCCCTGCTTTGGTTTCTGGTTACTGAGCTGTCCTCTAGAAAACACAACTATTTCCCTGAACCCCAACTAAGAGTTTGAGGCATCAGCTCCAATAATTATCCAATTATACAATTGTGTGAATTATACAACTTCCATCAGCGTTCTGGCTAGGATTTGTGCTGTGCAGTAGTTTGTTGATTTTTTTTTTTAAATTAAAATCCTGCCTTTTTTTTTTTAGCAGAAACTTCTCAGAAGACGTGTTGGGGTGGAGAGAGTCATTTGACTTGCTGCTGAGCAGTAAAAGTGAGTGGGACCCTGTTGTGTCTGTCTGTGGATGGCACATGTGTGCCCATGTGCCGTGGAGGCAGCCTGAGGATGCTAAAAGTGTGGGCAAAATAGTAGTAGTAGTAATAATAATAATGATCCCCTAGTGTGCCAGCCTCTATTCAGAATACAAAGGCAGGTCCTTGTTGGAGAAAATTACATCCTAAAAATAGACCATTAACTACAATTGCTGTCTTTTCTTCTTCTACTCCCGGCTGGCTGTCCCTGCTGTCTGACCTGTCTCTTCCTCTCTCCCTGCAACCCCAGATGGAGTGGCCGCCTTCCACGCCTTCCTGAAGACAGAGTTCAGCGAGGAGAACCTGGAGTTCTGGCTGGCCTGTGAGGAGTTCAGGAAGCTCCGGTCAGCTACCAAGCTGGCCTCCCGGGCTCACAGGATCTTTGAGGAATTCATCTGCAGTGAAGCCCCCAAAGAGGTCAGAGCGGTGACATATGCCAGGGATCCTGCAGACCCTGCCTGCTCCTTCCCCACTGAGAATCGGGGATGGTGGGGGGCCAGCAAGGAAAGGGCCGAGTCTAGAAATCCAGTGGCCTCATTTGGCACAGGAGGCTGGAGACTATAAAGCCAGACTTCGGGCCACCCCTGCCTCCTTTTACCCTCATACTCACCAGTGGGACTGGAGGGGTTGGCAGGGGCTTTTTGGCTTCTGTCCATATGCACTTCTGTAAACGAAGCCCTTTTTAGAGCTCAAAACACTTACACAACTGGGGAGACAGGTCATCATAGGATAACCTGGCTCAGTCCCCTTGTTGACCTGCCTCAGGTCTGTGGTCTGTGGACCTTTTAACCTTCCCCCAGGCCTCCACTGTGTTTGATAGAGAATATGGCGCCACCTTGTGGAGAGAGAGTAGTAATGCCTTGCTCTTGTATCTGTACAATATATTTTCTGAGCACTTTTATTTATTCCATAAAGATTTGTTGAGCATCAGTGACATGCAAGGCAGTGTTATAGACATTGAGGATATGGCAATGAACAAAAAGTCTCTACCCCAGTGGGAGAAGGTGACAATAACCAATTAAGTAAATATTGTCAGGGAATGATCTCTGCTCTGATAAAAACAAAGCAGGATATGGAAGGGAATACCAGAGTACAGGGTGGGAGGATGTGAGGTCTTTCCGATTTATAAAGGGAAGTGAGGGGTGGGCTGTTTGATAAGGTGACATGCGAACAGAGACCTGAAAAGGAGGAAAGAACATTCTAACACAGGAAACGGAAAGTGCAAAGACCAGAGAGTGCCTGTTGTGACCACAGACCAGCAAGTGGGCCCATGTGGAGTAGAGCATGAGGGAGAGAGAGTGGGAGATGATGTCACACAGGTGGCAGATGGCCAGGTGCCGGCCCAGCTGGCCGTGTGGGCTCATTGCACACTTGGGTTTTTCCTCTGAGTGACGGGTAACAACAGAGCTGCTAGCAAACTGACTTGGGTTTTAAAAGGCTCGCTCTGCTGGGTGGAGAATAGAGCCCGGGGTTAAGGGGAGAAGAGAGAGACACCAGGTAGCAGGCGCTGGCACTAGTCTAGGACAGAGGTGATGGTGACTTGAACCCGGGTTATTACAGTGGAATGGGTGAAAAGAGGTTGGATCTGTACCCATTCTCAACATATCCTGGGTCATTCTGAGAGACTGGAGGACAGACACTGGATCAGAGGTGGGGACAGGCCCAGAGTTGAAAAGCCCGTTGATGGTCCACTCTGGAGACCCCTGGTTCCGTGTTCGGAATCCAGTGCGCCTTCCACTGCCCCACGTGCCAGTCCTCCCGTGCCTGCTGGCCTCCTGCCTCTGCCACCCCATGCCCTGACGCCCACGCACCCACGTGCTTGCCCTCCATCCCACAGGTGAACATAGACCACGAGACCAGGGAGCTGACCAGGACGAACCTGCAGACGCCCACGGCCATGTGCTTCGACGTGGCTCAGGGGAAGACGCGCACCCTGATGGAGAAGGACTCGTACCCGCGCTTCCTGAAGTCCCCAGCTTATCGGGACCTAGCTGCCGAAGCCGCGGCCGCCTCCGCCTCTGCCTCCCCATCCGAGCCCTCGCATACCTGAGCCTCCAGGCTGGGAGGGGGCCGGCCAGGCAGAGAGGTTGGGTCGCCCATAGCCGAGGTGCCGCCCCCCCTGTGGGGGGGCGGGTTCTGCAAAGCCAGAGAGGACAGCGAAGGGAAACGCCCACCCGGTGACACCCTCTCCTCTAGACCCTGCGGGACTGAATTCCGTGCGTGAGAGGGTTCCCCCACTTCTAGGACCTGCGCCCAAGGGCTGAAGAGGAGGGTTGTGTGTGGCTCTCTGGGGGAGAAGAAGAATGGTGCAAGAGTCAGCATCAGCTCTGGCCCTTCTCAGCAGGGCAAGGGATATTCCAGGGTGCTTTGGGAAACTTGTGGATAAAGGGAAACTTGAAAATGAGTGAGGGAAAGACAAGCAGGTTAGCCGTTCTGCCTGTCCATCGGTGGACACATCCTGGTTTCCTAGTTCCCAGACTCTCCTGGGCACACAGGGAACCATGGATGTGGAGCCTTCCCATCCCGTCCTCTTCACCTGCCTCTGGGCTGCCCGGCGGGTTCCTTAGCTTGCATTTCTCAACACTCCTGTGTCCAGCCTGGCAGTCTTGTCAAGGCCAGAGAACCAATGTGATGCTTGCCCCAGATGAGATTTTTACCTCAAATACTGGCCTTCAAGCCCCTTTCCAGATCAGTAGAGAGCCCTGAAAAGAGGCCATCTTGCTTATGTGAAATGAACCTTGGTGCTCCTGGTGGCCTCTTGCGGGTGACCCGACCCTGTGTGTGCATCAGGGTCCACCTGTGAGCAGGGCCCGCTGAGGACCTCTTGCTGGGATGTGCCCTCTCTTAGCTCCGTGCTTGCTGTTGAACGTGGGGCCCATCAGGAGAAGGGCATGGGGTCTCTTGGTGAGCGGCTAGTCCAGCTCTTTTGCCGGGCAGGGTGGAAGGAGGGAGAAAAGGATCCTGAGAAACAAATCTCTTGGCAGTTCCAGAGAATCCTCTTTAAATCAAGCGCATCTTTTATTTTTGTGGGTATGAGAACAGCGAAAAAGAGATTCCCCAGGATGGAAGGGGAGCCTCGTGTTTCTTTCCTGTGGATGTGAGGTAACGCTCACTGGGGTGTCGGGAGAAATGAGGCAGGGACCTCAATGAACTTGGACGGACCGTAGAAGCTGGGAGTGAGGCTGGGAAGAGCAGGACTGGGGGCAATCAGAACCCGCTTGTCACCTCATGGCATCACTGAGCACATGTTCCGTGGTGGGACTTCTGCCCGGGCCCAGGCTGGGGAGGTGAATTAACCGGGAAGCTCCCCTGTGCCCCAGGAAAATCCACACTGTTCTCTCTGCGCTATGAGCTCCTCCAGGAGACAATTATTTAAGTCTAACGTATTGTTGGTTTTGTGACAGTGGTCATGGCACATTATTTTCACTGCTGTTGTCGTGTTGTTGCTATTGTTATTTATTGTCATTTGAGTTTGCCTCTACTGGAGAATCTCAACAGGAGCTGGCGGCATGACTGTCTCCCTCTCCACTGGACTCTACCTCTTGAACATGCTGGGAACCTCTTAGCACCTGTCAGGAACTCCTCCCTGTTTAAATATTTATTTATTGTTGACAGCTGGAACTGGTTTTCTAGATGTGAATGATGTACTCGATCCCCATTTTCCTGTTTCAGCATGTTATTTTATTGTGAAATAAAATAAAACCCAAGTATGAGATCCTGTCTCCAAGGGCTGTGTGGTCAGGGGAAGAGGGAAAGGGAAGTGCCGGCAGGAGTCTTGTGGGAGAGCTGGCGTCCGGAGATGCCACAGGATGCATGGGGAGCTTTCGAGTTATGGGCAGAGGTGACTGTTCGAACGGTGGCCACCAGGATGGGTAACTTCATTCAGCTGGTGACAGCCCAACTTGTGTCAAGCCATTGTGTCTTGTTGATTGGACCTGGCTCAGCTGTCATTTCAGGGCCCATCTCCTCTCTCCACCCGGCCCAGCACAAGCCATTCCCAGTTCTTCTTCGAACAGAGCAAGGGGTGGTTGCCCCTGGCCAAGTAGCCACACATTATCAGTTGGGGGGGGGACTTTTGTGCCATTTTCACCTTTACCCATTTTCAATTTGCATTAGTATCCTTTTAAGATGTCATATAAATTCAGGGAGTTAATATTCCTTATAATTTCATAGACGTCTCTGAGATGAGCTTTGGGAAGCCACTTGGTACATGGGACTGTTCCATTCCCAGGGCAGAGGCAATGAGAGGTTAGCGCTGGGCTGGAAAGAACTTTGGGGTAGGCTTGCAAGGATCCAATCTGCTCTCCCTCTGCCGATCACCTACTCGTTCTCCCTAAATTCTTCTCTATGTTGAATTATCTGTTTATATAAAGATAACTGAGTAAAGTGAACAGACTTCAGGTACATCGAGTAGAAAACCCCATGGAATCACATTCGAAGCCCAGATCTAAGAGGCGATTCTATGCGTGATGCCAGGAGGGATTCTGAGGTTAAGGGCCTGGGAAGGAAAATGGGAACACACACCGTGGCAGGCCCTGATCTCATTGAGTACTTACAACAGCTCTGTGAGGTAGGTATGATAACCCTACAATACAGATGAGGAAACTGAAACTCCTGGGGGCATCGGAGGGGGGTGAGAGGGGAACATGTCCAGGGCAGCTGGCTCGAGAGAGTGGCAGAGATGAGATTGGAACCCAGTGACACCGTGTCGGGCGGGGGAGAGTCCAGTCTGTGAGGGATGGTCGAGGGATACGATGGATGAGGGAAGAAGAAAGATGGTACCCAGAGAGGTGGGGAGGTAGGAACCTTGTCCTCTTCTCATTACTTTCCTTCCATCTTTTTGCCTCTTTTACATGCATTTATTGCATCTAGTGCATTCTATGTGCCTGGCAGAAAGCCAAACTAGTAGCCGTACCATCAACTGCAGGTAGCCTCACTTAATGGTGGGTGGGGATTCTGGGTAAGTTTAGACAAGGGCACAAATGTGTATTTTCTGAAGCAGTATGGGTGCCAGTAGGAAAACGTGGGTGTAAGCGGCTAGTAATGGAGAAATGAATGGGGGTGACGGACATCCAGTGACTGGGGTGGGTGCTGGCAGGCTCCTCAATCCAGCAAGACCATCCTCAAGGCTTGTTCCCCTCCCCTAGCCCTTCTTCTCACATACAGGGTGGTCTTGGAGCCCATGGCGTGGCCTGAAGGTGGTAGATACGCATTAGAGATAAAGAAGAACGACTCTTGGCTGACCTATACGTCTCCCAGGTGTCAGGCTCAAACCAACACAGGACCTCTGCTGGATTGGTTCTCAGAGTGTTTAAGGGATTTCCTGAAAATCACGCAGCCAGCAAGAGGTCTCCGATATCTTTAAACTCACTGGCTCTGGTCCTCCCCCAGGGCACTTCAGGCTTTGGCTTAGCAGACAAAGCACTTCCTGAGCGGCCTGCTTATGCCTTTCCGGCCTCTGCTCCCAATCGCTCACCTGCCCCTTGAAAACAAACCTTTCACGGTTCCCAGATTCACCCTACTGTTCAAGCCTCCTTGCTTTTGCCTCCTGGACCACCTCCCTGCTGTGCCCCCTACTCCCATCACTCCTTCATCAGCCTGGGGACGCATCTTTCAAAAGCCAGCTCAAGGGTCTTTCTGCGGTGCCTTCCCTGAGCCTTTGGGTCTGATCCCTGAAGCCTGTTCTTCATGTGCCCCCACTGCTGCTAACCCTCATCGGAGCACTTACATCCCTCCTTTCTGTCTCCCTTTACCAGACGGCAAACTCCTGGGGTTTAGGCATGTCCCCCTCTCCAATTTTCTACACCCAGGGCCTAGCATATACATGTTTAGCAGATGGCTCTTACGTTAATGATTAATTTTAAATCCAGCAGGAGAAACGTTTAGATGACCATTTCCAACTTCCTACCAGACTCCTCTCCCTGGACGTCCCACAGGCTCATCGTATGGAGCGCATTCAAAGCCGAGGTCATCACCGTCCCCCTCAGATATCCACTGCCTTCTGCTCCCATAACCCTGATAGGGAGAGATGTTGCTTCTCCTCCCAGCTCACCAGACGTCTTTATAGTTTTTTTAAAAAATAAATTTATTTATTTATTTATATTTTTGGCTGTGTTGGGTCTTTGTTGCTGGACACGGGCTTTCTCTAGCTGCAGTGAGCAGGGCCTACTCTTCATTGCGGTGCACGGGCTTCTCATTGCGGTGGCTTCTCTTGTTGTGGAGCACGGGCTCTAGGCACGGGGGCTTCAGTAGTTGTGGCACATGGGCTCAGTAGTTGTGGCTTACGGGCTTAGTTGCTCCATGGCATGTGGGATCTTCCCGGACCAGGGCTCAAACCTGTGTCCCCTGCATTGGTATGTGGATTCTTAACCACCACGCCACCAGGGAAACCCTCACTGAGATTTCTTAGAGGAACATTTCATCCTCTTCAACATAGGCTATAAAAACGACTTCCCACCTGGTGCCCCTCCCCAGTGCTCTCCCCCTCCAGTTCATTTTCCATGCCGTGTCAGTCTTTATCCATAAAGCATAGATCTGAGCACTCCATGGCTGCATTCAAGCCCTTCAGTGGCTCCCCTTTGAGTACGAGAGAAAGTCCAGCTCTTACAATGACATACAAGGTTCGTGCTGATCTGACCCAAGTCCCTCTCCTGACTTCGTCCCTGCCCAGATGGCCCTTACACACATGCTGTTCTCTCTGCTCGTAATGCCCTCTTTGTCTTTCTTTTAATTAGGGGTTGGGGGCTGAGGAGGAGAATGCCCTTCTCAAAAGGCCTCCTGAAAATCTAGCAAAAACATCACCTCCTCAAGTGAAGCCTTCCTTCCCAGACATCCACTGCCCAGAGTTCATCTCTGCCACTTCCATGATTCTAGGACACCCTGTCCTAACCTTGATCGCCTCATGTGTGACATGGCACTGTCACTTGCCTCTTCGCAGCTATTTTTCTTTCACTAAACCACTCTCTTCAAGATGGGGAGCCACATTATTTGATAAGATGGGGCAGGACAGACCACGGCTGAGTGATACACAGCCCAGCTCGTGGGGTTGGAATGTTGGGGCTGGAACTGGCCCCTTCGCTGTATGACCTTGGGAAGCTGCTAAGCCTCTCCAAGGCTTACTTCGCTCATCTGTAAACGAGTGCAGTAAGAGTGCACCCCTCAGAGGGAACATGGAATGAAAGAAAAGGGGCACAATGCTGATATCCCACCAGTATTAACTATTATTATTATCTGATTCCAGGTGCTCAGCACAGTACCTTGTCCACAGTCAATAACTATTTATTGACTTTTTGAAAAGAATGGAAGAGTCACAATTCAAAGCCAGGATTCCAAGTCTACTTTCCCAAGTATAGTACAGCTGTTTCCATACTGTATTTTATCTGATATGAAGAGCATTCCAGAGCTCCAGATGAGGAAATCAAGGACTGAGCCATTAAATCCAGATAGTACTCACTCAACCCAGGCTCGTGTATTTCCGCATCAGTGCTGTTGCTTCCGTGTTGGCTGTGGAGGGCTCTGGCCTATCCCGCACCCTCTGCTACCTCCCTGTGGCCATGTCAGGTCAGGCTATACAAACTTTTCCCTTGGAATTGCTTAGCTTTGCTCTCATTTTAAGTTGGCTCCTTCCTTTGGAATTGTATCCAAGAGGTATAACTTTTAGTTTTGTTTATTAATGCAGCTTAATAGAGATGTGAAATTTCAATAGAACTGAAAATTATTAGCATAATTGCTAAGGTATCCCAGGGGGTACAGGGGTTAAAATTAGATTTCTTTAGCCAACAGGGCTGAAATCACCTTTAAAAACTGAAGCTCTTGGCGTGGATGTAGAGAGAAGGGAGACCTTGTGCACAGTTCGTGGGATTGTAAGTTGGTGCAGCCAGGATGGAAAACAGTATGGAGCTTCCTCAAAAAATTAAAAATAGAACTGCCATATGATCCAGCAATTCTACTTCTTTTTTTTTTTTTTATTGTAGCTATATGAGATAACGGATGTTAACTAAACCTATTGTGGTAATCATTTCAGAGTATATGTGAATCAAGCCATCATACTATATAACTTAAACTTCTAGAGTGATGTATGTCAATTATTTCTCAATAAACCTAGAGGGAATTCCCTGGCAGTCCAGCGGTTAAGACTCCGAGCTCCCAATGCCGGGGACCCAGGTTCGATCCCTGGTCAGGGAACGAGATCTCGCATGCTGCAACTAAAGGAGCCCACATGGGGCAACAAAGATCCTGCATGCCGCAACTAAGACCTGGCACAGCCAAATAAATAAATAACTATTAAAAAAAACCAGTACCTACCTCATAAAGATTAGATTATATGATTTTATATATATATATATATATATAAAGGGCTCAGAATAGTTCCTAGAGCATACTAAAGAGCTACATAAATGCTTGCTACCATCATCATTCTTCTTCTTCTTATCATTATTATTAGTTCAGGTAGCAAAAGTGGCATGTGCAGAGACATGGTGGTGGGAAGCAGTGTGATGTGATGGGGACCTGGATGGTAGTAGTGGTGATGCCCATGAGGAATCAGGACAGTCAGGGACCATATCAGGACCTGAAATCATGTTACATATTGCATTTCTCAATTATTTATGATCTATTTCTGCCTACTAAGATGCAAGCTCCAGGAAGACCCCCACGAGGCACTTGTGTGATAAATCACCGTATCCCAAGCATTTAGAATAGTCACTGGCAACATTGTCAGTGCTCAATAAATATTAATTGAGCGAATGATGGGTTAAGGATTTTGAACTTTGTCCTGTACACTATGGCGAGTCAGTGAAGCAGGTATTACTAGATTAGAGGCTGAGAAGCAAGTCATCAGTTTCTTCCAGTAAGCGATAGTAAGGGCTGAAGTAGTCATCCCCTGGCAGATGAAAGTAGGAGACTTGGGATTGGAATGAGAATGGGAAGTGGCATTCAGGGGGTAGTGCCATTCATGGGGATGGAGAAAAAGGAAAGGAGCAGATTTAGGGAGAGATGAGAATCTCTGTTTGGGACATGTTCTAGATTTGTGGGTCTGAAGTTCAGCAGAGAGGCTGGGGCTAGAGAGAGAGGCTTGGGAGTCACTGGGGTGTAAGGGGCAACAGAGGTCGAGAGTCTGGATGGCGTGCCGCTGATGACCAACATGTCACCACACCTTGCTCCCTGTTCATAACCCTCTAGGAAGTTTGTCTCCCGGCAAGACTGGATGTTCTTTGAGGACAGGAATACTTCCCATTGTAGCCTTCAGTATACAGCGTGCATCTCCATGTTAGGAAAATGGTCAGGAACAGAACTTCTAGAGCAGAAAGGAATCTTAAAAACCATATTAACATGAGAGAATGAGGCCCAACACTGTTCAACCACTTGCCTGTGGTCACTCAGCAAAACAGCCACAGCTCTGGCTGCAGGACGAGGTCTTAAGACTGCCAGCCTTGTGCCCTTTCCAGGAGGCCACATTGCCTCAGGGTGGTGAGTTGACAGCACCCAGGTGAGTGAAGGAGCTTGGGCTTTGGGCTGATCTAGCTTCCTGGAGCCTCAGTTTCATCATCATCAGGATTGTTAGGGGTTGATTGGGTCCGAGTCTCTTGTGATGCAATGAACATAGTGCCAGGCACCCTGTCGGTGCTCAATAAATGTTTATTTACCATTCATTTCCCTCAAGAAGATAGGGGGTTTGGAACAACGTGGTCAGGTTGGAGCTGTGACCTGAAAGGCTGAAGGCTGAGCAGCACGATCTTGGACATCAAATCAGCCCTCAGCAATCAGTTAAGAGCCACCGAATAAATACATGTATATGTATAACTGAATCCCTTTGCTGTACACCTGAAATTAACATATTGTTAATCAACTATACTCCAATAGAAAATAAAAGGTTAGAAAACAAAAGAGCCACCGCTTTCCTCTAGGAGGTTTAAAGGTGCAACTAGCTCAGGCCACCTCTGCCGAGTGTAGGCGTGGTCAGTGTCCCCTCCCTCCTCCTTTCACTCTCCTTTCTAGGCTCCGCCCCGGCTGGCTCGCTTCTCGACGCTCCAGCCCCAGAAAGGACTGTTTCCTTGCTGGCTACAGTGTTTGAGGGTTAGGTGCTGCCAGAGAAATAACCAAGGAAGAGGCGTCTGTATTTAGAAGGTAAGGTGGGCAGAAGGAGAAGAGCTGGGAAAGCTTGAGAAGTTGTTTTCTTTGAAGGATTCCTTGGGCTTCGGGGACTGGAGATGGCAGTGGGTGTAGAACTGGAGGAGGGGAGAGAGCTCACAGAGCCAGCTGGTCAGCCCCAGGGGGCCCTTTGGGCCTGAGCCCACCTGAGATTCCCAGGGTTCTGTGACAATCCACACATTATTTATGCAAGTCATCTCAGTTTATCAGGCACATCTTGTCATGTGGAGAAAATGAAACTGAAAGCAGGACTCTTCCCTTGCAGTGTTTTTGATGGGTTATTTTCATTTTCTACTCTGATATTTCACTTGGGGGTTCTTTTATTATTATTATTATTATCATTATCGTCATTTTTATTTGCATTTCCTCAAAAGGAGTCCAAGATGTGGTATTCTTAAACGATTGTATTACACTGAAGTTAGCAGTTGGAGGTGGGCTGGAATAAATAAAAGACCGGAGGAGGAAAGAAGTTCGAAGAAACCCTGAGTCTTCCAGGTTTCTCCGAGATTCTTTCCTTCTCTGGTCCTTTATTCCAGCCCACCTCACACTCACTGTCACCGGAAGTGTTTACACAAACATTGGGTCCAGAGAGTTCATTACCGGGTGATTGTGCTTCCGCTGCACATTTGATTAGACCTCTGAGGTAAGGGCTTTGACACTGTCGGAGGGGGTGAGATTGCTGAAAAATGGTTGCTCTGTGAATTTTGCAGCAGACTTAGTTATGTAAATATTCAGGTAACAGTTTGCTGCCATCTGCTGTTTGAATTGGGTCTAAATTGCTCAGAGCTGATCAAGGGCAGTTGGATTAAACTGACACCCCAGGTTCTCTATTTGTGTAGTGTGTATATGCACATGGGTGGGGAGACTGGGATTTGTTAACTTTTGTTTTCATAAACGGACGTAATTAGCTCTACCATTTATTGAAGGCTTAATATTTCCCCCTCTCCCTACTTCAGTGCACTTTATACGGGGGACTGTATTTATTGTTGCCCCCATTTGAGGGAACAGAAAATTGAGACTTAATAATCTAAGGTTACACGATTAGGAAGTAAGAGTCTAGAATTACACGACCAGGGGCTCAAACTTCGATCTTGCTGAGTTGGGAGTCCGAGTTCTTAACCATACTCTACACTAGTTTGAATAGGACTGCACACATGCAAAGAACCAGGAATGTGCTGAGCGTGTTCAACCAGAAACACAAACTGATGAAAAACACATATTTTCTTATTAAATGAGGGTTCTGGTTTTTTTAAAAGGCCATCTATTTCTAGTAAGAGTATGTTTATATGGCATTGGGAAAAAATGTATTAATATAGGTTGAGAATCCTAAAAACAATCATAGCCTTTGACTCGGCATTCAGTTCTTTGAAATCTATCATAAGAAATCTATTATAAGATCTATCATAAGAAAATAAGCTAAAGTAAGCTAAATTTGCTCCAACATTATTTTGAATTGTGAAAAAAATAATCATTTTGAAACTCTGTTTTAAAAGTTATTTTAAAAATTTGCTCCATAGTAGAGAACTGAAAAACCTCTCTGATGGCATGTTGCATAGCCATCAAAATGTTTTAAAACACTTGTAGGGCTTCCCTGGTGGCGCAGTGGTTGAGAGTCCGCCTGCCGATGCAGGGGACACGGGTTCGTGCCCCGGTCCGGGAAGATCCCACATGCCGCGGAGCGGCTGGGCCCGTGAGCCATGGCCGCTGAGCCTGCGCGTCCGGAGCCTTTGCTCTGCAACGGGAGAGGCCACAACAGTGAGAGACCCACGTACCGCAAAAAAACCCCCCAAAAATCCCACTTGTAATAACATAGGACATTATTTATAATAAGGCATTAAATGAAAGGAGGCAGGATACAAAGTTACTTACAGAGCATGAGCCCAACTATTTTTTTAAAAATCTATAGAAATATACTAAAATATTAACAATACCTGTTCCTGGGCAGTGGGAGAATAAAGTAATAATTTTCTTGTTTAAAATTTATATATATTTATAATATTCTATAATAAAAATTTCTATAATAGATGTATTTTGAAAAGGTTGCTAGTAAAATTAATTTCTCAAATTCAAATGTTTTCGTTTTTTTATAAATTTATTTATTTTTGGCTGCATTGGGTCTTCGTTGCTGCGTTCAGGCTTTCTCTAGTTGCTGCAAGCGGGGGCTACTCTTCGTTGCGGTGCACAGGCTCCTCATTGCAGTGGTTTCTCTTGTTGTGGAGCATGGGCTCTAGGCGTGTGGGCTTCAGTAGTTGTGGCTCACAAGCTTAGTTGCTCCACGGCATGTGGTATCTTCCCGGACCAGGGCTCGAACCCGTGTCCCCTGCATTGGCAGGCAGATTCTTAACCACTGCACCACCAGGGAAGTCTAAATGTTTTCTCACTATTATAAAATTATGAAGTTCCTCTCTCATCTCCAGGTGGAAAGTCGGAAGACTTCAAGAGTATTGTCCTTCCTGATACTGGTGGTCTGTAGCCAGATAATTCTGATTTACCCTGACAGGATTTTCTAAGAGTTCCACGTCTCTTTGATCAAATCCCAAGGAGATAAGTTTTTCATTTTCTTGAAAAAAAGGCAAAAAATTTGTAACCAGTGGTATTTACCATCATGGAGACCAAGAGCCCTAACAATCCTCAGGAAAGACCCACACCCTGTACTAATGGGAGGGTTTCAGAGGAAGACAATCATTTGTTGATTAAAGCTACTAAAAAAGATGACATTGAGCTGGTCCAGCAATTGCTAAAAAAAGGGGCTGATGTCAATTTCCAGGATGAAGAATGGGGCTGGTCACCTTTGCATAATGCAGTACAAAGTGGCAACGAGGACATTGTGGATCTTCTGCTTAACTATGGTGCTGAGCCTTGTCTGCGGAAGAGGAATGGGGCCACTCCCTTCATAGTTGCTGGCATCACTGGAAATGTGAAGGTGCTCAAACTTTTACTTCCGAAAGTAGCAGATGTCAATGAGTGCGATGTTCATGGCTTCACAGCTTTCATGGAAGCCTCTGCATATGGTAGAGTCAAAGCTTTAAGGTTTCTGTATAAGAATGGAGCAAAGGTGAATTTGCATCGAAAGACAAAGCAGGATCAAGAGAAGATTAGGAAAGGAGGGGCCACTGCTCTCATGGATGCTGCTGAAGAAGGGCATGTAGATGTTGTGAGGATCCTCCTTCACGAGATGGGGGCAGATGTCAATGCCCGAGACAATATGGGCAGAAATGCTTTGACCTATGCTCTTCTGAACTCTGACAATGAGAAGGTGAAGGCCATTACTCGCCTTCTGCTGGACTGTAAGGTTGATGTCAGTGTGAGGGGGGAAGGAAAGAAGACGCCCCTGATCCTGGCAGTGGAAAAGAAGAACCTGGGTTTGGTACAGATGCTTCTGGAACAAAAACATATAGAGATCAATGACACAGACAATGAGGGCAAAACAGCACTGCATCTTGCTGTTGAACTCAAGCTGAAGGAAATCGCCCAGTTGCTGTGCCACAAAGGAGCCAGAACAGATTGTGGAGACCTTCTTGCCATAGCAAGGCGCAATTATGACCATGACCTTGCAAAGTTTCTTCGCCAGCATGGAGCCGTAGAAGATTTTCACCCTCCTGCTCAAGACTGGAAGCCGCAGAGCTCACGTTGGGGGGAAGCCCTGAAACATCTCCACAGGATATACCGCCCTATGATTGGCAAACTTAAGATCTTTATTGATGAAGAATATAAAATTGCTGACACTTCTGAAGGGGGCATCTACCTGGGGTTCTATGAAGACCAAGAGGTAGCTGTGAAGCTATTCTATGAAGGCAGCACACATGGACAAAATGAAGTCTCCTTGTTGCAGAGCAACCGAATCAACAGTAATGTGGTGACATTCTATGGCAGTGAGAACTACAAGGGCTCTCTGTATGTGTGCCTCGCCCTGTGTGAACACACACTGGAGGAGCACTTGGCCGACCACAGAGGGGAGGCTGTGCAAAATAAGGAAGATGAGTTTGCTCGAAATGTCCTCTCATCTCTATTTAAGGCTGTTGAGGAACTACACCTGTCTGGATACACTCACCAGGATCTGCAGCCACAAAACATGTTAATAGGTAAGTCCCCAGTGTTCTCTTAGAAACGTAGGGCCTTTTGTTACGAGAGGAAAGGATTTTCATGGCAGAACAGGGAAGAACTAGAGTCAGTGTGGATTGTTCAGTTTGAGGATTAATGTAACAAATCGATAGTGACAGTGCAACCTCTCCTGCTACCAGGTATAACCCGTATTCCACGTGGAGGTCGAGGATGCCAATGGAATAGCAGGCTAACCTTATATTGCCCTTGGCAAATACAAATTTGTAGGTCTTGGATGGAGCCAGCTCCAGAAGTTTGAATTCTTAGAGTAGTCTTCAAGTCAGGGAACCTAGAAAGTGTGTTCCTTCAGAGAAGGTGGCAGTTACAGTGAAACTTAATGGCAAAGCTGAGGTTAAAATTGGGATCCAGGTTAAGATGTGACACGGTGAAACATACTGCAAGCAGACCGAACAAGTCAGTGTCCACTGCTGCAAACCAAAACCAAAATAAACTAAAGCAACATTCAAGGATACAAGCAGAGCTGAGGGCTTCGCTGGTGGCGCAGTGGTTAAGAATCCGCCTGCCAATGCAGGGGACACGGGTTCGAGCCCTGGTCCAGGAAGATCCCACATGCCGCAGAACAACTAATCCTGTGCGCCACAGCTACTGAGCCCGCGAGCCACAACTACTGAGCCCGTGAGCCACAACTACGCTCCTAGAGCCCGTGCTCCACAACAAGAGAAGCCACCACAATGAGAAGCCTGCACACTGCAACGAAGAGTAGCCCCTGCTCGCCGCAACTAGAGAAAACCTGCACAGCAACGAAGACCCAACACAGCCAAACAAACAAACAAAAAAACGAAGCGGAGTAGGGAACAAATGTATGGACCCCAAGGGGGGGAAAGTGGGGGGGCAACGAGATGAATTGGGAGACTGGGATTGACATATATACACTAATATGTATAAAATAGATAACTAATAAGAACCTGCTGTATGAAAAATAAATAAATAAAATAAAATTCAAAACTTCCAAAAAAAAAAAAAAAAAACAAGCAGAGCTGAGTGTAAAGTCCCAGGGGGCAAGTTGGGACAGTAAAAAGAGCCTTGGCTTCAGCCATATTTAAGGAGCCTTGCAGCCTTGTCCCACCACTTTGTAGCTTTGTAACCTCAAGCAAGTTGCTTAATTCTGTGAGCATTGGTTTCCTCACTTGAGACTGATAATACCTCCTTCATAAGGTTGTTATGAGGTCTAAGTGCAGTATGTCAAATGGACAAGTCATCTGTACATTGTAAGTGCCCAACAAAGGCCAGGTACTTGTCTAGAGGGCTAAGCAGAAGCAGATACCTAACCTACAGACATGCACTGACATTTAAGCTTGGTGTAAGGGACCAGGGCAAAAAGAAGATGTGGGTACTGAGAGTCAGAGAACGGTACTTAAGGTCCTGGAAGAGAGAAATAGGTAGACGTAAGATCTGGTTTCAGTGTGAGGACAGGTGTTTGTGGCACTCCTTCCTGGTTTTAAGCAACTTCGCTGGGGAGACTGACAAGGGCCAGAAATATGTGCAACTCTACCCACTAAGGAAGAGTCTTTGAGGTTCAGCCAAAGGTGAGGTCCTTCCCAAGTTTACCTGCTGATCTTGATGCAAAAGGATCACACATCACGTTCTAAAGAAAAATAAGTTGTGACTACCTATTCTTTGAAATTTCTAGCACCACTCCTTCCATTCTTAAGCTTGAACAGTAAAGAACTGATTATATTTCTGCCTCAAGGTGGCGAACCTAGCACATACTGCAGACTCTTCCCTGTATTAAATCCCTCAAATGATGGGAAAAGATTTTTAAATGAATTCATAACTGAGATCAACATTAAAAAAAGAATTCCTAGAGGACAAAATCCTTGAAGAATCATGGAGAGACTAAACATAGATAGGATGGGATTGAAGAATAATACAGGAGTCCAGGACAAATGCAGGAAGCCACAGATAAACATTACTTATGAACGTAGGAACAGTGTAGAAAAGTGCCACTCCAAAGTGATGGAAGCCAGAAGCAGAAGAGGACCAAGGACCAGCTAGCAGGCAGATTGCTGCGACAGTCGACACTAGGAAGATCAAACCCTGGGCTTCCCCTCTTCCCCAGGGACCAAGCATCTATGACAGACCTTTCTTCTACAGACAGGGGGACTGCTTGAGACACTGGGTCATTGGTGATATCAAGAGAAACAAAGAGCAGTTAAACATGCAAGATTTCTGCCAAAGCAGCTACTAAGTGGCATGTCCTGCTTACCCCTGAGCTTCACTGAATAAAATGCAAAGCAGAAGCCCTGACGACTGCTTCCATCCCTCCACTCTGTTGGGTGGCATTAACAGAAACAACTCACAGGACGTCAGGGAGTCTCAACCGCAAAGTAAGGCTTACAGTCGAAAATCACTTAGGATATTTAAGAGGTGCCAATACCGTGAAAGAGAGGCATGAAACAGAAGAATTTACACCCAAAGAAACATAGCTAACCAAATGTGTAAGTTTCCATGGCTGTTAAAAGAAATTGTCACAAATCTGGTGGCTTAAAACAACAGGAATTTAATCTCCCACAGTTCTGGAGGCCAGAAGTATGAAACCAGTTCCACTGGCACCAAATCAGGTGTCAGCAGGGCCAAATTCCCTCTCTACACTGTAGTACAGAAACTGGGCATAAGCATTAAAACTTATTATAGCACTTTAACAATGTCTGTTGAAACTAAAAATAAAAAATTGGGGCGTGTAAAAAACAAATCAAATGTTAGAAGAGATGTGAGGTATTCCATTAGGTAGTTTCAAATTTCAGTAGCAGAAAACTCGACTCCAAGTGGCTTAAATAAGTGAAGGGAATTTATCACTTCAAATAATTGAAAGTGGTCTGTGGTTTATGATCTGCATCCCATCTGCCCCTTCAACCTCATCACAAGCAACTTTCTGACTCTGTCCCTCCTCCCTAAGTGCACACTTGGGCCTTCCTTCTGCCAGAGTGGAATTCTCCACGCATTCCTATCTGGAATTCTCTCTTCCCTCTGTTCCCCATTCCACTCACCTACCCAAATTCTACTTTCTGATCTTTTCTGCCTAGGTGTCTCTTCCTTTTTGTTTTTTTGGCTGCACCATGCGGCATGTGGGATCTTATTTTCTCAATTAGAGATTGATCCCGTGCCCCCTGCAGTGGAAGTTTGGAGTCCTAACCAGTGAACCAGCAGGGGATTCCCTAGGCGTCTCTTCCTTAAGGAAAACTTCTCCACCCTCCCCGCACCCCCACCCCAGCCATGTAGCTCTTCTTGTGATACACTTTTAGGGCATCCTGCACTTTTGGCTAGCATTTTCAAAATTGCAATTAATTTAACGTTTATCCTCCTTTAGTATCCGTCTCCTTGCCCAGAGATTCTAAACTCTGTAGGGCCAGGACTGTGTTCTCCTTCCTCACCATCATTTTTTTCCCCTCACTAAACACTTGTTGAATGATTTAATGGGTTCCTTTTTGTTAGACTCTGAGTTTCCTCACAACTGTGATGTCTAAGTTCATAATGAAAGGAGTTTGAGAAGCACACAGTTGTACTGGCCATCATCCTATGTGGGGTTACCCAACCTTCCTCTCAGACTCCTTTAAGCCACCTCTTCGAGGACAAATTACTGACTCACCCACCTTTCATTTTGTTCCTGACCTCTCTCATCCATGCATCCCTCTTTCTGAGGACTTAGTGGCTTCCTTTAAGGGAGGAAGATTCTGAAGGGGACAAGGAGACAGTGACTCATTACAAGCACATGGTTTATTCGTGGTAACAGATTACAACGTCTTAGTGGGCAGTGACTAGTGGGCTTGATTTGGTGGAATGCTATGCTTAAGGTGGTCTTGGATTCGGATCCTTGTTGTTTAGTTGTTCTTTAGCTATAGGATGTAACCTTAACTCCTGCCAGCAGCTTCTTTACAGATCTGTGCTCTTTGACCCCAGGAGTTGCATGACTGGGGAGCTGGTTATACTTATCCTCATGCTTCCCCACCCCTTGGCTTGGAACAAATAAAATGTAAGTCCTGCTCTTGGCAGATACCTGAGAGATCAAACGACACAGTGCACATGACAGTGTTTTGAGAAGCAAACAACAAAGCAGATATGAGCTTATCATTGTCTTCCTCAGAGATGATAGATTGTACATTGTGTTATAGACTTATTTAAATTAATTACAGCATATGGAGAATGAGGATTTTCAATGCATCTCTACAAACTATCCCTTAGATTACAAGAATGGTGCTTACCTGGCAGATTTCGATAAAAGCATCAAGTGGACCGGAGATCCACAGGAAATCAAGAGAGATCTAGAGGTAATTTCTACAAACAATTTACTTTTCCATCTTTCTGCTTCCTTCTTTGTTCATTACCTTACTCCCTGTGGCCAGTTAGAGGATGTTCTTATTTCAACCAGAAGGAAAGACATTTCACGGCATTTCCCTGGTACTCACTGCCTTCACTCCCTTCCAGACAGCCAAGTGGGTGTGGGGTTGACCATCACCGTGGCCCCTTTCTCTATCTCTTTAGATCTCTCTCTGACCCCACAGGCTGAATAGTAAATACACTGAACATGCCACAATTCTTTCAGAATTACAGCCAGGAGATTTTCTCCAAAATAATTCCACAATTCCTGTAGGAGGTATTTTCTGCCTAAAGACAAAGTAAATGAGATTTCTTTTCCCACTCTATTCAAACACGTGTGCCAAACTCCTAGGAGGGCCAGCGACTAAGGCCCTCTCAAGCACAGCGGAGGGATGGGATCGATCCACAACTCAAAAGAGACTAAACTTGGCCCCAAAGATTAAGATCCTGAAAGAACTGTTTCTCCAGAGACAGAACAGAGACGTAGCCTCTGCAGACCACGGCTCCCAGATAGATTCTGAGCTTGTCAGCGCAGCTCTCGCCTGGAGTTTTCCAGGGCGCTGAACTTCCAACCCAATAGACAAGAACTCTCCATCCATGCCTGGCCTTTCTGGTTCAGTGGCTCCAGATTTTAGCTCCTTCACTGACTGGTGTCCTTCCCAGTGCAGTTTCTATGCTGGCCTCCTTCCTGGTCCTTCCTCCCTTGCTGTGCCCTGACTCCTGGGGCCTTCACTCTATTCTGTGGGACCTGGTCTGGCTCCTTTATCTGTGGCCTGACATAGGCCCGACCCAAAGTCCCAGTTCCCAGCCAGACTCTGAGCATCCCCCTTGTTTAAAACCTTCTCCCTTTCCCCTGTTTATCTAAATTCTATCCGTACTTTGAGGTCTAGCTCAAATTCCTCTTCCTCTAAGCAGTCTGCCCTGACAACTCTGGCCTGGGATTATCTTTTGTTCCTTATAAACCTAAACCTATAAACTATACTACCTTGAAGGGGTAGTATCCTAAACTATACTACCTTGAAGAGTTCTCTATGCACAAGCCCATGCCTTCTCTCCCTGACCAGGCTGGGGAATCTCCTCGAGATTCTACCCGTTTTCCATTTGCTCATAGCCTGTGCCACACCCTACAAAGTTCCCCAAATAGAGTGATAATTCATAAGCGCTTTTGACTTGATTTATGGCTTTTGTGTAGGCCCTGGGACTGCTGGTCCTGTACGTGGTAAACCAGGGAGACATTTCTTTTGAGAGTCTGAAGGATCTAAGAACTGGAGAGTTGATTCAACTTTCTCCAGATGAGGAAACTTGGGACCTCATTCATCACCTGTTCTTCCCTGGGGACAATGTGAAGGACCATCTGAGTGGCCTGCTGGGTCATCCCTTCTTTTGGAGTTGGGCGAGGTAAGGAAAACTGAGTGTATATTACAGGCCTCCAGGACAGAGACAGTGAGTGTATTAGTCAGGGCTCTTTATATATGTACAAAATAAGGAAATGCCTCATGCAATATTGGGGCTGAGAAGTTCCACTATTTGCCATCCTCAAGCTGGTGACCCAGGAAAGCCAATGGTGTAATTTAATCTGAATCCAAAGGTCTGGGAACCAGGGGAGCTGAAGATGGAGATTCCAGTAAGGGTCTGAAAGCCTGAGAACTGGGACAGCTGAGGGCAAGAGAAGAGCCATGTCCCAGCTGAAGCAACCAGGCAGAGAGGGGCGAATTTCCCCTTTCGTTCTAGGCAGGCCCTCCATAGATTCGATGCTGCCCACTCACATTGGGGACGGCCATCTGCTTTACTGAGTCCACTGGTTCAAATGCTAATCTCCTTGGAAACATCCTCACAGACACACCCAGAATATTTAATCTGGGCCTTGTGTGGTCAGTGACATTAACACATAAAATTAACCATCACGGTGAGGTGGGCAGGAGTCAGGCTGGGAGTCAGCAGACCCAGGCTTTTCTCTCAGCTTGGCATTTCCTGGCTGGGTGTCATTGGAGCAGTGACTTAACTTCTCTGGATCTGGTTTTCTCCATTGAAGAATAGAAAAAGGATGAGGGAAAACATAGAGAGAGAGAGCTCTCCCCTTATGCAGATTTTAGAGACATGCTTTTACTACTCCTATCAAAAGCCAAAATCTAATAGTTCTGTAAAGAGTGGGAAGGATGGGACAACCGTGATGATTCTGTCATTCTCAGCCGCTACAGGACCCTTAGGGATGTGGGAAATGAATCAGACATCAAAACGAGAAATGCTAATGGCAAGATCCTCCAGCTTCTGCAACCTGGAACATCTGAATTTTCCACAAGTTTTGCCCAGTGGACAACTAAGGTGTGAACAACTCCTATGGTCTTGGAGTTATTCCAGGAATAAGAATCTGTGTCATGTGTTATGTTGGTTTTCCTAACTTTTTTATACTATGGGCCTGGCCCAACCAAGTGGTGAGAAAGGGGATTTTCCTCTCCCTCCTCCCATCCCAGGTCCCCTCTGCCCTTTTGAGTCTCTGCTCCAGGCCAGGCCCTCCTGAGAGACTCATCCAGGCTCCTCTTTAGGATGGCCTTGTCACAGCCCAAGAGCCTTTCTCGTTTCTCTTCTTTTCTCTTTCTCTCAAGCCTTGTTTTCTGAGCGAGGTCTGACTAATAATTCTATTTCCACTGTGACAAGAGCAGCTGGTTAAATAGAGTTTAGCCCAGAGGAGGTACCCCCCACGGGGCATTTCCACCTAGGGAGACTGGCTGCCTCCGCTGTCGGCGCACAGCCCTGCCTGAGCATCCATATACACACCTATTTTCTGTATGAGAGAACAGAAAGTGAAAAAAAGAAAAAAAAGATGATCTTTCAAATTCCTCCTCTTCCAGAGAAGGTCCACTCAATATAGTGGAACATAAAAATTAATCACCCTTTCAGTCTAGTCAGTACTATCAGAACTTTCGTTATTATTAGCGAGCAGACATCTATCAAGTACCAGTATGTGTTAGGCCCATGCAAGGTCAGAGATATACAAAACAGAGTACAGCATCCATGTGGGGCGGAGAGACCCACAGAATGATGGCTGTGGGATACATGCTGGGTACCCCAGAGACATGGGCAAAGCATTATGGGAAAATCCATAACTCTCAAGTCTTTGAGTGAGACCAGCAGCTTCTGTATCTTAAGCCTGATGTAGGACTCTTGCTTCTTCCAAACCTCTTCATTTCTGCATCTCATTTTGCTTTCCTTCCCTTGCTTGCCTCTAGACCACATATCACACTCATAATTGCTGGCTTAACGTCTCTCTTTCTTGCTACACAGTAAGTTCCACGAGGGCAGAGACCATCCGTTGTCTTGTCTGTCATTGTATTCTTGGCATGGAGTAGGTGTGCCATGACTCTTTGCTAAATGAATGTCTATAAGAGTTCAGCTAAAAATTAAACTTGTAGAAACAAAGACATTTGAAACCAGAGCAGACGATGGTAATAGCTAACGATCACGTAGTGCTAACTACATGGCAGCTGTAGTTCTCAGGACTTTCCATGAGTAACCACAGGTAATCTTTACAACAGCCTCTGAGGCAATTAGCTCCGTCTTGCAGGTGGGCAAACTGAGGCACAGACAAGTGATTTGTTTCAAAGGCACAGAATCAGTAAAGGGTGCAGCAGGATTTGAAGCTGGGCACTCTGGCTTAAAGGCCATGTGCTAACCTGTAGCTGATAGAGATTGTCATCTTCTTTTTCTTTTTAATGTCTGAGACAGAGAAACAGTACTACAGGCAACAGAAAGGAGAAATCCAACCTCAAGACTGAAGTGCTAAAAAAAGTGGTTGCAAAAGTAGAAATAAGAGAAGTATAGAGCACAAAGCACAGAAGAAGCAGGTGATGAAAGCTATTGTTTCCCTTCTTTTCTCACTCTCCACTCAGTGTTAAATGGAGCATTATTTTCAGACCATATAGGAAAGTCATTCTCTTGAAGGTTAATTATCTGGCCTTTACTTTCTGTTTGAAAGCAGAAGCAAGGTTTGAGAAAATGCAGTGGTGTTGGGTAAATTATCAATCAAAGCCCAAAGGTCCAGAGGCATAAGAAGGAAGGACAGAATTGGAATGAAGAGGAAAGTACAAATAAAATGCTAAATATCACTAGAGAGATAAAGGTTATGGAGGTAATGGAATGTTATCAGTCATCAGATGTGATGATACAGGTGGGTTCTAAGGTGCAAAAATGTAATTTTAAAAAGTGTTTCCAGGGGCTTCCCTGGTGGCACAGTGGTTGAGAGTCCGCCTGCTGATGCAGGGGACACGGGTTCGTGCCCTGGTCCGGGAGGATCCCACATGCCG